GCAAGCATGGGTTGCTGAAGACCTATTTTACCCCGGACCTTCACGTGTCGTTTACCCGTGGTGATATTGGACTTTTGTGTTAAGTTAATGCAGTGTCGCTATTAAAATGGCATGCGTGTATTTAAATTGGCTTGCAAACAACCTCCTTTCATGGGTAATTTTTTTTTTTCAATTGACTTCAAGCTATGTTTGCTAACACCATGCATGGCAAATATATGTATATTTACACAGTTGGAGGGGGTCATCGAGAACTAACAGCACAATATATGTGGTGATTGAGTTACATGTCAACATACTTTAAGTCGCCGCATTGTCTGTGTGAGTTCATGGTGAAATACAGCCCAGCCCCGAGATCAACTGTCACCCCCGGGGGATTCCGGGTTTGAACAGGTCCCCAGCACCCTCTGTCGGACGACGCGCCGGAACGGATCAGGGGTCAGGATGGGTGACTTGGCGTGACATCGTACCCCGAGTTGAATGTTGATCCTGATATCAATCATAGTATGTCTGGTCCAGACTCGATTATTTCCAAGCCTCTTTTATTTTATAGCAGGGCCTTTGTTAAACAACAAATAAAACAAAATGTTTCGAAAATGTCCATTTCGGTCCGTTCCATATTTAGACCCGTGAAGATCCGGGGTAGAATAGGTCTTCAGCAACCAATGCTTGCCGTAAAAGGCGACTATGCTTGTGGTAAGGGGCGACTAACCGGATCGGGTGGTCAGGCTCGCTGACTTGGTTGATACATGTCATCGTATCCCACTCGCGTGGATCGATGCTCATGATGTCAATCACTGGATTGTCTAGTCCAGATTCGATTGTTTGCAGACCGCCGTCATATAGCTGGAATATTGCTGAGTGCGGCGTTAAACAACAAACAAACAAACCATATATGGAACGCACACACGCATGCGCATTTATGGTCGTGGAGGGTGCACTTGTCAATATTTTTGCGCATGATGTATGCAGGCTCTCGAACAACGAAATTTATTCCAGGTATGCGGATTTATGTCACCGTTTCTGTTTATCCATTCGTACATAAACAGTTGGCACATTCACTTGACAATAAACGCCATGTCATCTGAATGGATATATTATGCGGTTGATTGGGTATGGTATTGCATCGCTCTTGGTTGGCAAGTCGCCGAAAACCAGGCAACTGGTGCCAGAAGACTTGTATAGCGAAATATATGTACAAAGGATACAAGTTATACATATCAACACCAGAATAATTGTATTCATGTATTGGGTGAGGGCAGTTGTGTATTTGTCACTGTATTCAAAATATGGTATACATTCTAAGTTAAACAATTCAAAGAGACCTGTGAAGATTCGGGGTAGAGTGCGGCGTTAAACAACAAACAAACAAACAAGAAAAGAAAGAAAGCTGAGTTCTTATTTTATATTTGATTTTAAGTCGTTATATTGGCCCGTGCACTTTTTACCTCACGCGAATTATACCGTATGCCATATAATATAAGCGCCGGGACGCTGTGCGTGCGTGCGTGCGTTCGTGTGTGTGCGTGTGTTATGTTTTTCAAAAAGAAGACTCTAGTCCTTCCAGAATAATCACCATACCATATTGTGCATGGTCTTCAGGGGAAAATGGGCAGTCGGGTAGCCTTGTGGTTAAAGCGTTCGCTCGTCACGCTGAAGACCTGGGTTCGATTCCCGACATGGGTACAATGTGTGAAGCCCATTTCTGGTGTGCCCCGCCGTGATATTGCTGGACTATTGCTGAAAGCGGCTTAAAACCGCACTCACTCACTCAGTGGAAAACAAACGTTACTCACTCATCCACTTTATATTATATGAAGCGCCAGTATATCCTTCACGGCCTAGCTGTGTTGAACGATCTAGCCACTCAGTGTGGGCTTGATATAGCTTATCTTCGACACAGGTGTTTGGCAAGTGATTGACAAGTGATATAGATTACGCCAGCTGAACCACGCCACACGTGCACGACTTTATCGTGGAACACGCCCGTGTAATCTAAACCAGTATTGGAAATGACTGCTCTCATGCACAGGTGTTATAACATGAACTGCACTGTATACCGTTGGCAAAACGAAAGTGCATGTATACATGCATACAACATAATGTTTTGTTTGTTTGTTGTTTAACGCCGCACTCAGCAATATTCCAGCTATATGGCGGCGGTCTGTAAATAATCGAGTCTGGGCCAGACAATCCAGTGATTGACATCATGGGCATCGATCCACGCAATTGGGATACGATGACATGCATCAACCAAGTCACTCATAGGTCACTGAGGACCATATGAAATTGGCATTTACTAAAACAACAGATCATGTAAGGATAGGAATTTATGGATGAACAACGTCTTTTTTACAATTAAGAGCGACGTTTCGGTGTAGGTTCTAACACCGTTATCACTTCCTTAGTAATCTACACCGAAACGTCGCTCTTAATTGTAATAATAAATTATTATCCTTATACTCCAACTTCTAATAGACAAAGGTATGTTTTTTGGTTTACAAAGTTGCATACCCATATTGAAATACAGAAACCGAAATAGGTTATGTTTCTTTTGTAACCGTTCCATGGCAGGAGTTATTTGACTGCACTTTCATTGTAATCATTTGAGTGAGTGAGTGAGTTAGGTTTGAACGCCGCTTTGAACAGTATTCCAGTTATATCACGGCTTGTCATCATAATGTGGGAGGAAAGCCCGAAGTGATGCAGGTCTCAGACATTTACCACTTCGGTGAAACACACGAGCACGGGTATGGTGCTAATTAACAGGCCTAAAATCACAATCGGGACGAACCGGGATTCGAACGCCAAATCATGGATTTATGGCGTCACAAGGGACGCAACTCTGCATAGCGAATCGCGGCGCCTTGGAGGACAGGGCCACCCGTGCCTCTGTGTAATATGATATGACCCTGTACTTTCCTCCATCTGGAAACACATGCAGTGATCTTATTCCAACGTTTTCAACAAACATCGGTGGCAGCTTATGCATTTATATAAGATAGCCACGCGATAAATCGCAAAGAACAATGAAGAACAATCGTGATTTATTTCACGACAAAACATTGCTCTATCGTGACGTCATTTCTGGAGATTCGACCATGCGCAACTTGATGACGTTGTATCATCGGACAATGTTATTTTTGATAGAGTAATGTCTGGTGAGTTTTCCCCATAGATGTAGCATATGAACGCAATGGCCGAACGATCGCATCCAAAGTGGGTGAGATATGACAATCAGTATTGGGAGAAAAGGTGCAGATAATCGACGTGAAAATTGTGAGAATACCAAACTTAATACCCCTGTACATAAAATGGAGTTGTCCGACATTGCTGAGGTCGGATTGTATTCAGGGAGTCATCATTATGTAAATACATGTAAACGTCTGAAAGCTTATACAATTTTTGGACATCCTTGAAAAAGCTGTACAAAATGTTAATATCTCAAATTATATTTCTTAAATCAACATGGCGGTACATACATTACGTATCTATAATCACCCATAAATATACAACCCAGTCCGTCACTGTGTCGCAAATGATGTGCACACAGCTCTAGGTGAGGTGAAATTGGGTTTAACGTCGCGTCCAAGATTATTGCACTTATATAGCGACGTCACAGCTCTAGAAATGCAATGGGACGGAAAAGCCAAGATATTCCACTTGAATAACAGCCAGAACGTTAAATGTGTTAATTTAAAATGTTAATGCAAAAACTAACACTAACTTTCAGAAACAAATTAGGAAGTGCCAAACTAAATAAAAAAATTGACATCTGGTGCAACGGTTCGAAATTGCACGAACGAACACTAACTCGCGGTGGCTTGGCTCTCGTCGTAAATGGGTGTGCATAGACCTTTGTCTTATTTCATTGCCATCCCAAATAACATGCTCTAATGTCGTAGTATGTTGTTTTTTAAAAAGAAAACGTACATATCTAATTATATCTATACAGTACTGGACGTGTAAAATGACTTCAATGAACCGCAAACAACAATACTTTGTTGTCCAGCTGGTAAATCAATTTGAGTGTGTGAGTGAGTGAGTTGGGTTTAACGCCGCTTTTAACAGTATTCCAGTTATATCGCGGCGTGTCAGCTTAATGTGGGAGGAAAGCCCGAAGTGATGCAGGTCTCAGACGTTTACCACTTCGGTGAAACCCTAGAGCACGGGTATGGTGCTGACAAACCTAGAAACATAATCGGGGCGAACCGGGATTCGAACCCACAATCATAGGTTTCTGGCGTGCCCAAGGGACGCAACTCTGCACAGCGAATCGCGGCGCCTTAGACGACTGAGCCACCCGTGCCCCCAAATCAATTTGAACATATGGTCAATCACAAATGGTATATCCTGAAGAAAAACGATTGAAATATATACGATTTGAAATATAAGTCAAAGAGTAATTAACATGGTTTCTCACAGTCTGTATCAAATCAAACACGGGAATATATATTGGACAGACAAGTGGCTTAGCATTTGAAATGTGAATACCGTTTACATTAAAGATGTTTATTATTCCTACCTGGTAAAACCCATTCACAAAATTCCAAATCCTTTATATTTTTTTAGTCAACAGGAGTGGGCAGTTGGCACACAACATAGCGGTGTTTGATTGTATATGACTGCTCACCACGGGAAGTGCTTTATTTCTGTTCTACACTGACGTGTTAAAACGACCCGAATTTGAAAGCACGATGATTCACCCCATACCTTTGCTACCTGAGTGGTAGACTGACAGGTTCCCCTATTCTTACCTGTCTGTGATACTACTTTCCGCACAACTAATCAACATACATAATGTTTCCATGCTAATTGATCTGTTATAAAGGCTAGCATAATCTGTTATAAAGGCTAGCATATTTAGGTACAATATTTATATTTAGGTACAATATTGCACAGTCACTGAATTGCAAAATTAGTTATGGCCAAACCTGCACAGAAGTCATTATTATTTGATGATGATATGGAAGTAGTTTTAGGACAGTAGTGAGAAAGTTTGTATTGGACTTCCGGAGTGTTTATCCCAGCGTGTATGGGACTCTGGATAATCAGATAAATAATTACAATTTTGTAGCATTGATTTGTCTACTGTTACAGCTTGGTGCATGTTTGTCGCTCGCAGGATATTATCAGCCTGCGTTTTCATGTGCAGGCTGTCATAGCATCGGTTGATGCGCAAGTAGCGAGGAAGTGAGACAACGTGACCCCTGACCTAAGTTTGGCTGTCACATCTGCTGATCGGAAGATGGCTGACTTCAGGAACTACCTGTAATAAGTGTCAGTATGACTGAAAATTCGGAAGATACAACCTGGGTAGGACTCAGGTCAATGGAGGAATTACAGGAATTAATTGCCGAAAAGGATAATATTATCAGTCATCAGTGTGGAAAGATAGAAAGTTTGCAAGCCGAACTGGCACAAGTGAAAGAGGAACGAGACCAATTGCTGAGTAAATTGTCTACAGTAAACAGCACTGAAGATGAGACCACGAAGGAAGACGGGTAGGTTTTACTGTTACATAACATTTCTTTTCACATTGACTCAATTATGTGTCATAGGTTCAGGCCCCTGACCCGAACCTAAGCGTATTAGACTGTCAAGGTGTTGACAGACCACAGTTAATCGTGTACGTTCGTGCTGACGGCAGCTAGCTTTAGTATGAAACACGAATGTTGTGACAACACCCAGATTGATTTGATATGTGCGGACATGTCAGTCCCTATAAGACCTAATGTCACCTATGTTTAATATTATCCTTTGACGGATGCATGTGTGTAATAATGTCAAATTACCATACTATTTGGAAACTGAATTTCTAATTAATTGTTATTGTTTGGAAAACATGCAGAAAATGGCTGTCAGTGACAAACTAGTTTTCTTTTGATAACATACAATTATCTCTTAACAATTTAAAAAACATACAAGGGAACTACTCTACTAGTGCTTTTTCGGGAGATGTCAATTTGTCCACACATGTTAATTTTTTTATGCAAGTTAAACAATGGATGTATGTGTTAAGGTCAGAATAGATCACAGTGTTTAGTTACATTTGTTTTAGTATTATCTTGTGTTTCATAAGCTTCTTTTCAGCCTTTTTGATTGTCTAGTCATAGAAGGACCTGGTGATATTTCTAATAAATGTATCATTTACATGTACTTCTGTAAACCAACCCAAAGGGTCAATATTTTGATGCAATGATCCAATTTTTTCAGATAAAAATTCAGCTTGTTTAAATTATAACATATTCTTTGGAGCTAGTATCTCTTGTAAGATGTTTGTGTTCTTGTTTGAATCAAGTAAGCAAACATGACCAAGATCTCTGCAAATTTGATTTTTCCAAGTTAAGTGCATTGTTCCAGCAGACAGACAAAAACATTGTGTTGGTCACACAAATACAGACAATGTCGGCCAACAAACACCACAAGTCCACAGCTAGAATACACATGAAGTGATAGTGATTTTCCCATGTTGGTATTTAGCTCATTCGGGTGTGTATATTGGAGATAATGAACTGTCCATTAGCTGTCATAATATCTGTGATAATCTAATTACTGCTGATAGACATCACATGTTAATAACTACCTGAAACAAATACTCATGTCTGTTGACGTGGCTTTTTAAGAAAAAACTGTTACATAATAACAAAGGATTTTCTTAGTGACTTGTCAGCCGACAAGTCACTAAGAAAATCCTTTGTTATTATGTAACAGTTTTTTCTTAAAAAGCCAGATGAGTAATAATTTTAAATGGTTCTTTCTTTGTGTTAGGGGATTGAATGGGGTGGGAGGTCATGGAAAAGAGGAATTGTGAGAATCAGAGGATTCAAGTAATTTCTCCGACTTAAGTTGACTATGGTTGATATCTAATTTCTCTATTTATTTTTTCGTAACGACCTGGAGGTGTGTCAGTTTTAAATGCTGTTATAATGGCCACTGAATTCCTGGCTCAGAATCAAAAGCAATAAAAATAGCATGGCGTCATCATAATGATTTAATCTCGATTCACAACACATGGATAACCCATTTAATCTTTTAAAATGGGTCAAATTGAATAGTGTTGTTTTTGTTGGGTGAAGACACAGTGATTGGCTATGGGTAGAAATCTAAGGTTTAGTTCAACCTTTATTCTTATAAACCTTCTTAGTCAGAAGTGAACAATTATTATGATACGGATCAGACGTTGACCAGTGTGTGGACCCTTTTATCCCTATGTGTGAGTGGCCACTTTGTGACTGTGTTTGCATGTTGATTCAGGGCACACTGTCCAGTGTTTGGTCAGCCTGTCTAGTCTAAATTGACTTGTGCAAAAGTAAACATCGAAGGATGGTATCACTTTCTACTGTACCTGAAGGCATTTAGGCATGCTCCATTTTGTTTCAAAACAAATTACACTTGGCTATAAATAATATGCCCGTTTAAACGCTACAGTTCTGTTTATAATTATGTTAAAAAATAATCAGGCCTTGCTTTAGGGTGTTTACACAGCAGAGACAAGTCAGTACTGAACATGCTGAACAATGGATATATGGCTGGCAGCTTGGGTGTTACATATATATATATATATATATATATATGAAATTAAACTACTGTTTTCTTGGTATAATGTTTTTCAACAGTTACTGAAAAATATATTTATCTGTCATAGTTGTAGGGCCAATATTATGCTACTGCAGTTTTAGTTAGAAATAGTCACTTGGTGTATATATAGATATCATGAATAATTTCTTTTTTTTCTCTCCAGAATTGATATCCAAAATATGGTTCATATTACCTTACTGTTTACAGTAATAACCTTTTTACTAAATCATTTTAACCATGTTTAGCAAGTACTTGATCAATACAGCAATAAATTTGCTCATAATATGATGTTAGGGAAAGAATGTGTGGGTGTACTAGACTGGACAGTATTATGATGCTAGCAGACTGAGATACCATGCCACAATTGACCACCTCCGTTTTCCAGTGGGAGAGAGGAAGGTCATACCAAAAGACATTAGAAGATGGTAATTGTTCTTATCGTTTCTGGTGCTCTGCATTAAGGAGCTAAAACAAAGACTGGTCCGCTCGGTGTCAGTATACTGTGTCTGAGTGGGGTATTCATGTTAAACTGCAGCATGGTATCTAAGTGAGCTAGCACTATAAATCGGCATCAGTCCATCGGTACATGCAGACATGCACGCATGCATGCACGCACACACATGTGCATGCATGTGGCTATATAAGTGCAATAATCTTGGACGCAACGATAAACCCCATTTCACCTCACCTCACCCATGCCATATTTCAACAGGATACCCCACTCAAACACAGTATACTGACTCTGAGCCAACCAGTCCTTGTTTTATCCCCATAATGCTGAACGCCATGTTTTAACATCCTTTGGTATGACACAGACAGGTTTGAACCTTCCACTCTGCGGCGACCTCTGTCTACTACACCACAGAGGCGGCCATCAGAAGTAACGAAGTCCTTTGGAGCCATTGTAATTTGTAGATAGTCTACAGTTGGTTTCATTTCCCTGTTTTAGAGCCATTAAACTGTTTAAGTAAACATGAATGTAGGTTTGACATTTGAAAGTACCATTGTTTCCCATGAATGTTGTATGTCCGTGTCGAAAAATGATGTCAGATTGCTGTTTCCATGCCAACCCAACTACATTCTCAAACAGCAAAATGGTTTTTATTTTCATGATTACCCTTTAACGTGTTTACGAATGCCGAGGAAAAATAAACCCACACCTAGATGTACTCAGCAAGTTAAGCTAACAAGCTCCAGATGCTCAATAATTAAATGAGCCAATTTGCAATTTAAAAATATTGTCTTGTTGTTGTGTCAGAGCTGCTAAGGAACTGGGATTCCTAATCAATACAATGTCCTAATGAACCAGTTTCAGCCTTCGCCATAGTACTGAAACAAGGCGATGACAGTTTGAGTCTGATGCAGCGTTCCAACTGGCTTCTGAAACTGCCAGTCCTGATGGTGAGTGAGTGAGTGAGTATGGTTTTACGCCGCTTTTAGCAATATTCCAGCAATATCACGGCGGGGGACACCAGAAATGGGCTTCACACATTGCACCCATGTCGGGAATCGAACCCGGGTCTTCGGCGTGACGAGCGAACGCTTTAACCACTAGGCTACCCGACCGCCCCCAGTCCTGATGGACTGGCAACTCTAAAAATTACCAGTCCCCTCTAAATTTTGCCAGTCCCACCTTTCAACAAATAGAAAAATGTATGTAAATTTTTTGGTTTTGATTCTTTCAACATAATGTTCAGTGCAAAGATGTCATCTCTGAAGGAACTTAGTAATATCTTTATGTCATTCACAGAAACTTCAGTCACAATTTTCTCTCTTTTTAAAAAAAAAATATTTTGAGACGTGGTCGCTACAAATGGATATTTAACCTAGAAATAGACCAGGGGAAACCCTGATGGTAACAGAAAGCTGTCTTTGTTCGAAAAATGTACTCATATGAATATCACCGATGTTCTGTCCAACAAAGAGGATTTATAAGGTACTTTATTTGCCGGTCCTGACAGCGTTAGAAATTGGCACTAGTCCTGTAGTCCTTACCAAACTGCCCAATACTAAAGGTATCCTAAGGACTAGTAGAAATTGGCCCATTTTAAGGGTTTTGCTATATGCTTTCATTATAAGGACTAGTGGACAAAAACTGTTAGTTTCTAATCCTGGGTCCAAATGGACTGGCAGTCACATGAATTACCGGTCCAAGCCTAATTTTACTGGTAAAAAACTGGTAATTATCGGTAAACAGGAAAGCTGTGATAGTCTGACTCTGTGCATTATTTATGACATGGTATTTCTACTGCAACCAAGCCTAAAGTTAAAGTGTACAGTGGTGATCAATCTTGGCAGTTGTTGTAGGAGACAGACTTGATTGGTCTGCTGCACTGTCTGTTTCAATAACCTTCTGGACATATGCTCTCAGACCCAACAACAGGCTTAGCATCCTTGTCCACACTTGGGCAGGTCCTTAGATTCCAGTCTCAGTGAAAGGTCAGAGGAAGGACACTACTTGTTGTTGTCTGCATGGTTTGAAAATAGTTCATCTTGGTTTTGAAAGGTGGAATTTGAGAATGTGTGTTCAAAGCTTGATGCAGATGGAGTTAATCCTTTTTCGGTTAAGTTATAGTTGGCATGCTTAGTTGCTGATGAAGATGTCTGAGACTTGTAGGAACAGTTTCTCGCTACAAAACGTATGCTTTGTTGTATTCATCAATGGAAGTTGAAAAAGATCAATCTTGTTTTCTACTTCATTTCCAAGGCAGCATTGCATATGGAAAATGTCTTGATGGCCTTGGTGGCAATATGATGTTAACATTAAATGTTGCTCTGCTCAGACAGTTGGTGCCATACTGGGAGGACCTCCCCCTGTTAATAGGCAATATCCAATATCCTAATAAAAGAACCAAAACATTAATGAAACTTTCAAATAACTCACAACTATGTACCATATTTACAAATCACCAGGGGGTGGCCC